ATGTTAGTTTTGAAGAGCGACTCAAATCACTGATGCTCATAACTAATTCAAAATAATTATTTTCCCGAATATGTTCATGTAGAATTATTAAACTACACTTAGATTATCTATTTCAAATGAAACCGGCATCAAATTCCACTTTTTACTGGTTTTACAGGCGATAAATATGTTAGTTCTGATAAATTCTGAAATCGCCATTTTGAAGAGCGACTCAAATCACTGATGCTCATAACTAATTCAAAATAATTATTTTCCCGAATATTTTCATGTAGAATTATTAAACTACACTTAGATTATCTATTTCAAATGAAACCGGCATCAAATTCCACTTTTCACTGGATTTACAGGCGATAAATAAGTCAGTCTTGATAAATTCTGAAATCGCCATTTTGAAGAGCGACTCAAATCACTGATGCTCATAACTAATTCAAAATAATTATTTTCCCGAATATTTTCATGTAGAATAGTTAAACCACACTTAGATTATCTATTTCAAATGAAACCGGCATCAAAATCCACTTTTTACTGGTTTTACAGGCGATAAATATGTAAGTTCTGATAAATTCTGATATCGCCATTTTGAAGAGCGACTCAAATCACTGATGCTCATAACTAATTCAAAATAATTATTTTCCCGAATATTTTCATGTAGAATTATTAAACTACACTTAGATTATCTATTTCAAATGAAACCGGCATCAAATTCCACTTTTCACTGGTTTTACAGGCGATAAATATGTTAGTTCTGATAAATTCTGAAATCGCCATTTTGAAGAGCGACTCAAATCACTGATGCTCATAACTAATTCAAAATAATTATTTTCCCGAATATTTTCATGTAGAATTATTAAACTACACTTAGATTATCTATTTTAAATGAAACCGGCATCAAATTCCACTTTTCACTGGTTTTACAGGCGATAAATATGTTAGTTCTGATAAATTCTGAAATCGCCATTTTGAAGAGCGACTCAAATCACTGATGCTCATAACTAATTCAAAATAATTATTTTCCCGAATATTTTCATGTAGAATTATTAAACTACACTTAGATTATCTATTTCAAATCAATGCGGCATCAAATTCCACTTTTCACTGGTTTTACAGGCGGTAAATAAGTCAGTCTTGATAAATTCTGAAATCGCCATTTTGAAGAGCGACTCAAATCACTGATGCTCATAACTAATTCAAAATAATTATTTTCCCGAATATTTTCATGTAGAATTATTAAACTACACTTAGATTATCTATTTTAAATGAAACCGGCATCAAATTCCACTTTTCACTGGTTTTACAGACGATAAATATGTTAGTTCTGATAAATTCTGAAATCGCCATTTTGAAGAGCGACTCAAATCACTGATGCTCATAACTAATTCAAAATAATTATTTTCCCGAATATTTTCATGTAGAATTATTAAACTACACTTAGATTATCTATTTCAAATCAATGCGGCATCAAATTCCACTTTTCACTGGTTTTACAGGCGGTAAATAAGTCAGTCTTGATAAATTCTGAAATCGCCATTTTGAAGAGCGACTCAAATCACTGATGCTCATAACTAATTCAAAATAATTATTTTCCCGAATATTTTCATGTAGAATTATTAAACTACACTTAGATTATCTATTTCAAATCAATGCGGCATCAAATTCCACTTTTCACTGGTTTTACAGGCGGTAAATAAGTCAGTCTTGATAAATTCTGAAATCGCCATTTTGAAGAGCGACTCAAATCACTGATGCTCATAACTAATTCAAAATAATTATTTTTCCGAATATTTTCATGTAGAATTATTAAACTACACTTAGATTATCTATTTTAAATGAAACCGGCATCAAATTCCACTTTTCACTGGTTTTACAGGCGATAAATATGTTAGTTCTGATAAATTCTGAAATCGCCATTTTGAAGAGCGACTCAAATCACTGATGCTCATAACTAATTCAAAATAATTATTTTCCCGAATATTTTCATGTAGAATTATTAAACTACACTTAGATTATCTATTTCAAATCAATGCGGCATCAAATTCCACTTTTCACTGGTTTTACAGGCGGTAAATAAGTCAGTCTTGATAAATTCTGAAATCGCCATTTTGAAGAGCGACTCAAATCACTGATGCTCATAACTAATTCAAAATAATTATTTTCCCGAATATTTTCATGTAGAATTATTAAACTACACTTAGATTATCTATTTTAAATGAAACCGGCATCAAATTCCACTTTTCACTGGTTTTACAGGCGATAAATATGTTAGTTCTGATAAATTCTGAAATCGCCATTTTGAAGAGCGACTCAAATCACTGATGCTCATAACTAATTCAAAATAATTATTTTCCCGAATATTTTCAGGTAGAATTATTAAACTACACTTAGATTATCTATTTCAAATGAAACCGGCATCAAATTCCACTTTTCACTGGATTTACAGGCGATAAATAAGTCAGTCTGGATAAATTCTGAAATCGCCATTTTGAAGAGCGACTCAAATCACTGATGCTCATAACTAATTCAAAATAATTATTTTCCCGAATATTTTCAGGTAGAATAGTTAAACTTCACTTAGATTATCTATTTCAAATGAAACCGGCATCAAATTCCACTTTTTACTGGTTTTACAGACGATAAATATGTTAGTTCTGATAAATTCTGAAATCGCCATTTTGAAGAGCGACTCAAATCACTGATGCTCATAACTAATTCAAAATAATTATTTTCCCGAATATTTTCATGTAGAATTATTAAACTACACTTAGATTATCTATTTTAAATGAAACCGGCATCAAATTCCACTTTTTACTGGTTTTACAGACGATAAATATGTTAGTTCTGATAAATTCTGAAATCGCCATTTTGAAGAGCGACTCAAATCACTGATGCTCATAACTAATTCAAAATAATTATTTTCCCGAATATTTTCAGGTAGAATTATTAAACTACACTTATATTATCTATTTCAAATCAATGCGGCATCAAATTCCACTTTTCACTGGTTTTACAGGCGATAAATAAGTCAGTCTTGATAAATTCTGAAATCGCCATTTTGAAGAGCGACTCAAATCACTGATGCTCATAACTAATTCAAAATAATTATTTTCCCGAATATTTTCAGGTAGAATAGTTAAACTACACTTAGGTTATCTATTTCAAATGAAACCGGCATCAAATTCCACTTTTCACTGGTTTTACAGGCGATAAATATGTTAGTTCTGATAAATTCTGATAAATTCTGAAATCGCCATTTTGAAGAGCGACTCAAATCACTGATGTTCATGACTAATTCAAAATAATTATTTTCCCCAAATATTTATCTAGAATTATTAAACTACACTTCGATTTTCTTTTTGAAGCTAAACCTGCATCCATTTTAATTTCCTTAAGTTGGTACAGACCGTGAACTAGTAGCTTCTGATGGATTTCTGACGAGCGACAGAAATCACCGATGCTCATAATTTATTCATAATAATTATTATTCGAATTTTTTTCTCTAGAATTATTAAACTAACCTTTTATCATCTACTCTTTGTCATAACTGTATCCAATTTTTTAAGTTGTTAGAGATGGAAATATAATTCTGGTAGGTTATGAAACCCTCTTTTGAAGAGCGACCGAATAACTAAATAAATTTAAAATAACGTTTTCCGATTTTTTCCCTAGAAATATTGAACTACACTCAGATAATCTACTTTAAATCAAAACTGCATCCCGTTTTACTATTTAATGTTGTAACAGATGGCATACTAGTCGGTTCGTTTAAAACAATTGAACATGAAACCGTAATTTTGAAGAGCGACTGGAATCACCGACGCTCTTGATTTGTTTAAGATAATGTTTCTTCAATTCTTCATATTCAGATTTATTAAACTCAAAATTTATATCAGCTACATAAAATTAAAACCACATCCATTTTTTTTTTTTTTTCACTTTTTCTTATCATTTCGCCGGACAAGTGGCCAACCACCCTAAACGTATTTAAAATTATTATGTCGTCATTATTTATTTGTTCAGAATTATTTTCCCGTCATTTAATTTATCTGTTAAATAAAAAATAGGTCGAAATGAGATAAGAATTATCACTTTATATTCTGGTGAAATACAGGTATTTATGGTTCATTGAAGACAAAATACAAGTGTATATAATGAAGTGGTTATAAAAACACACTTCACACCTTTGGTAAAAATTGACCACGGGGAGCTGTGTTTGTGAGTTATTAACATACAGGTAATTGTTGACACCTGTCTAAGATAACGCCCTGGGCATGGTTCACACCTGTTGAAACAAATGACTGAGAGATTGTTAACCGTAGCATGTTTTCCCCCCTTCTTTTCCTTTTAAATATATATTCAATTTACAAAATTTTTAATTAAATTTGAAGTCGTTTATTTTCTTTTAGAAAATAAATAGATTTTAGAAATCTAAAACATCATTTAATAATCCTATACGAAGAAAATTCAATATTAAGTTTTAAATAACATATATAATTGTTTTGCATACTTTTAGGATTAAAATAAATAAATAAAACACGAAAAGCTAAGACTTCGGATACTATTACCGTGGATTTAAAACCAGTAGAGCACCGCTTTGATTTGAAGCGACTAAAATCCCCAGGCATGCGCAGAGGCCAGTGATTTGAGTCGCTCTTTTCCCTATATATTCTATTAAGAGCGACCCTGAGCACTAGCGACAGAAATCACGGTTACACCGGTCGATCAACTCCTAAAACTTTAAAGAACACCGTGGAACTTTTTACAAAATTTTAGGTTTTTAATGATCCAAAATTGGTGCACATCGAGAAAATCCACTCACACAGTAGTTTGTTAACCTGTTTATGATAAAGTTAATTATTTGTAGATGTGAACTTTCGACTCTATCCTCTTTGGTTTCCTGTAAGATGTGTCAATTCACCCTCATTTCCTTGTAAAATCAATGCTATAATTTTCTTTGACATTTCATCAAAAATTTGGTTTTCCGTTATAATGTCAGCATCTTACAGATATGTCAGAGTATTTGAAGCCCGCCGCGGCCATTGCATTGCCATATGTTGGAGGAGCATTTGGTTCCATAATCGCAAGGAAAAATAAATCACCCTGGTATGAGGTGAGTATAGAAAAATATCTCACAGTGGTTTGAGATGAGTGTTATGAAAAAAATTCTCAAAGTGGTATAAGATGAGTATAATAAAATGTCTCACAGTTGTTTGAGGTGAGTAAAAAAATATTTCACGGTTGTTTGAGATGAGTATAGAAAATATTTCACAGCTGTATGAGGCAAAAAATCTCTCCATGGTATGAGGTAATTAAGTATACAAATATCTCCATGTAATCTCAGGAAAAAGAAAATATTACAGTGATAAAAGGAGAGTGTAGAAAAAATATCTCACAATGAATATACAAATATCTCATTGTAATCTCAGGGTAAAATGTCTCAAAGTGGTATGAGCTGGATATGGAAAAATATCTCACTGGTTTTAGGTGGGTATTGAAAAATACCTCACAGTAGAATGAGGATAACATACAAATAGCTAGTTCACTGTAATAAAATTATCTCACAGTGATATGTGAAGAGTATAGAAAAAATGTCACTGTAAACTGGAGGGAATATCTCAGTGGTTTAATTATATCAATAATAAGAAAACAATTTTGCTAGAAACTCATGGAATAAATTTTATGGGTGAATGTATAATAATATCTCACTATATGTTTATATGGAATATTTCTCAATATGGAACAAGTTTGCTATGTAAAATGATTTCAAATTCATTGTGATCTCATTGGATATAAATATCTTATGATGTCATCATGGTTATGAGATCTACTAACAATACATGTACATAGAAAAACAAGTTTTCAATGTTAGCTAAAGGGATAATACCACACAGATAGGATGAACAATCTTGTTTTGTATCACAGAATGTCTCATGTACATGCAGTGCTGTTACATAACACAGAAAATTATCTCATTGTATTCTCCAAAAATATTCAAGTGGTATAACATAGAATTATTGCATTTAGTAGAGGGTAACATGGAAAATTTTCACCCCAAGAAAACCATTGTCAAGTGAGGCACCGTTAAGGTTTCAATGTTACCTCAATTACATGCAATATCTATATTATACTGATTTTTTTCCACACTAAATAAACAGTGAACTGTGTACACATAAATTCTGCACAGTCAACAATTTTTGGGAATATCACTCGTCAAGCAATGTTGACTATTGCTAAGTTCTATCACATTGGAGGGGGTGGTTTCATCATTCAGTAGGTTAGAGTGTTTTTCGATGAATCATGTTCAACTAATTTACATGAAAGTATGATATAAGTCTTTATCAAATAATCTTTATGTGAAAGGGAAAATTGTAATGCATACAAATAACATGGTGTCAATTGACAGAGATTGTGTTTAAGAGAGTGCCAGAGAGAGATAGAGAGAGAGAGAGAGAGAGAGAGAGAGAGAGAGAGAGAGAGAAGAGAGAAAGAAAGAGAACCAAATAAGGAAATAGATTTTGTATATTCACTATAGAGTTCCCTCCAGCTAAGAGTAAACTGTTCTTCAATGCATCACATATAGTTAAATCTACATGTATATAATCTTAAGTTTGTCTTTTCCAATCTGACAAGAAAGTTTGATTAATGATAAATATAAATTTCCCCTTACCGTTGTCCGTAGACCGTGTTAGTTTCTTGATCGTGTTCATATTTAGAATTCCAGAGTTTGTAGTGGTTGTATCCTGTGTCAGGTCTCTGATTTCCTCCACACAGGGCCAACAACAAACTCTATTTTCCTGATTAGTTTATATTTACACAATACAAAATGTATATCATAATTTTAGGGAAGTGAATGTGGTATATATACATCACTGCTTTGTTTTTATGCTTTGAACTTCAGTATCTTGAACACTGATATCTCAAATACCATGGATATGTAGAAGTGATTTTGAAGTCCTATCCCCTTATTCTTTAAATATTTTACCCTGGATATCTCAAATCCTTGGATATCTCAAAGTTTTTTTCTCTGTCCCTTTGAGTTCGAGATAATGAGGTTTAACTGTATTATCTTCGTCATTATCATGTCTATCAAAATTACAATAGGAAGAGAGCACATTTGATTCAGTGCACATTCTATCTTATTGATAAAGGTCATCATTGTCAATATATTTATGTTGAGCTTTTCTAATCACATTTTGTCCAGCCTCTGTCTGTCTGTTAGTCTGTCTGTAAACTTTAAACATTTCCGACTTCTTCTCAAGAACCAGGACAGGGCCAGTTTCAAATTAACTTGCCACAAAGTATCCTTGGGTAAAGGGGATTCAAGTTTGTTTAAATGAAGGACCACAACTTCTTCCAAGGGGAGATAATTACAAATTAGTGAAAAATTAATGTTATCTTTTAAAAATCTCGCAAGAATCACTGAGCTAGAAAATATGAAACTTATGTGAAAGCATCCTCAGGTAGTATAGATTTAATAAGTTATTTCAAATCATGACCACAAGGGGTAGGATGGAGCTACAATGGGCAATCAAAGTTTTACATTGGAATCTTTAAAAATCTTCTTCTCAAGAACAGCAAAGCCTTGATTGATCATATTCATGTGGAAGCATTCTCATTGGTAGTGTAGAATCAAGTTTGTTCAAATCATGAACTTTTCAATACTGAACTGATTTATGCTTTTTCCTAGCCAAAGTGCTCAGGTGAGCGATGTGGCCCATGGGCCTCTTGTTTCTTTATATATAAAATTAAAATCTTGAAATTAAGAGATTTGGCAGATCTGAATTTATAACTGTTCACTTTATATTGACAAAACGCACAATATCTATTTCTTACAGAATATCAAGCGCCCCTCTTGGAGGCCCCCCAACTATCTTTTTGGACCCGTGTGGACTGCTCTGTATGGAGGTATGGGTTATGCTTCATATCTGGTGTGGAAGGATGGAGGGGGATTCCAGGGGGATGCAGCCTTACCCCTGGCTTTGTACGGCACTCAGCTGGCTCTGAACTGGGCATGGACCCCCATCTTCTTTGGAGCCCACAGATTGGGACTTGTATGTTGTTTGATTACTTATAAATAGTATATTTACCATTATGTACTTGCATATAAGTCATATTTTTTTTGAGTAAAACCTTGGTCAATTCAAAACTCTCTGTCTGACTACTACTCACAAGGTCAGGGGTCCTGAGTTCACTTGTGGTCTGGGAGTCGGACCCCTGACAAACTTCATTTTTTTTATGGACTGACCACAGTGACAATGGAGAAATTACAAATCCTGATTGCTTTTCTTATAAACAACCTGTAACTTGTATAGAGTTAATGTCAACTGCTCCCTTTCTGTTTACATTTTCTGTCTACATGTAAAAGCCTCAAATTATTGCTGCTTCTACAGTGGCTGCAACGTTATTGTTGACAAACCAATCGTGTAGAATCGTTCGTGTAACGTGCGTGATCGTTCGTGTAACGTGCGAGATCGTGCGTGTATCACACTCAATCGTTTGCGGTTTTAATTGTGCGTGATCGTGCGTTAAGAAACGTGTAAATTTCGTTTTGTAAGTTTTTATCGGAATGTTATTTGTTATACAAGCATTTCGCTTGACTGTTTCTTTTTTCTCAATCTAAATAAAATAAATCAAACACGATTTACATAATTGAAAGTAGAACGAACTAATTATCGCTTGGAAATAAGCAATATAGTAAGTCGTACAATATTGTGTTCTCGTCAAATAGCATGATGTTTTGTGATAAATCGTTCTAAAGTCTTAGATGTTTAAAAAAAATTCTCTAATGTTAATTATGTTTACTGCTTATTATGGTCAAGATATTTTAAAAATCAATATATCAAAAATAGATATTTTTACAAATAAATAAATAAACAATTCTCAATGCTTACATAAATATTTAGTCGGTGAATGTACATGTACACGACATGTCGGGGTTTCGTTTATCAGTGTTTATCTCTGGAGCTTACTTTTAATTATTTTTATAATTTCTGCAAATAAATGATTTGTAAAATAATTGTTCATTTAGAGATCACAAATGGAAACATGGATATAATTTATATAATTTAATTCATTTTCATCCCATTTTTTTCAAACCTATCCCTTTCTGTATATTATGAAATCCAATTCAATCAAAACTCACGGTCCACCTACATGTACATCTTCTGATAGAACGAAAAAACATCAGTTTTCTTAAGTCGGAGAATTACGTAAATAATTATTTGTAATCTAAAATAATTAATAAGTCTTACACGTACTTAGTTCCAGAAACATCCATTTCTATTTTTGTTTTTCATTTTTCAAAGTCAATGAAATAATATCAATAATTATTTGAGATCTAAAATAAGTATTAACTAAAGCCTTATTTCGTTTTGAAAATATCCATTCCTAAAGAATTTGAACTATTTTGCGTGAAGAATCGTGCGTTTGCGTTAGCAATTGTGTAAGATCGTGTAACGTGTAGAATCGTGTGCGTGAAGGATCGTTCGTGTAACAGATTTTATCGTGCGTTAATCGTGCGGAATCGTTCGTGTAACGTGATCGTTCGTGTAAGTTGTCAACAATAACGTTGCAGCCACTGTAAGTGAAAGAAGCAAGCCCAAAAAAGCACCTCTGACATCACAGTATTGTGAGGATGAACTTACAAGCGAGTCCTCAAATTATCAGTATTTTACTGGACAACAAAATTATCCTTGAGAAAAGTTGGGATCATATTATTATTTCATGCAAAAAAGGAACATTTACAATAATTTGATTACAATATGTATAAAGGACAAGTACCTACAGATTTTAATTATTTTATTTTTGTCTTTTCATTTCCAATATTATGCTCACAATTTCCTATGTTTTTCTAATTTCATTTTGAGCATTTATCTTTTACATTACCGGCATTTTTTTTATACCCCCCCCCCCCCCCCCTTAATAAAGTGGGAGATATATAGTGATGGGGATGTCCGTCCCTACATTCTTCTGTGCTTTCACAACATCCATCTCTTTTCCACAACTTTGCCTATACCACAAAATAAATTTAGTGAGTCTTTCACAGAATGTTAATTACATAGTGCCATTGTGTACCTCCTACTGTTCAATTCAATGGAATTGATATTTGGAGTGTCCTATAGCAAAAATCTGCCATTCTTTCCATAACATTGTGGGTATCCATCTCTTATCTGCAAGTTCTCCCATACCACAAATAAAATTAGCTCACTATATCTGAAAGCTCAAGAGAGCTTTTCTGATTGCCCTTTGTCCATCCATCCATCCTTCCATCCATCTGTAAACTTTTCAAATTTTCAACTTCTTCTCAAGAACCACTGGGCCAATTTTAACCAATTGAAAGTTGATACAAAGCATCCTTAGGTAAAGAGGAGTTTAAATTGTTAAAATGAAGGGCCAAGCCCTCTTCCAAGGGGAGATAATCAAGAAAAGACAAAATAGGGTAGGGTCATTAAAAATCTTCTTCTCAAGAACCACTGGACCAGTAAAGCTGAAACTTATAAGGAAGTCTGTGAGGTAGTGTAGATTCTAAATTTTTCAAATCTTGACCCCTGGAGTTGGGTGGGGCCACAATAGGGAATCAAAGTTTTACATTGAAATATATAGGAAAATTCTTTAAAAATCTTCTTCTCAAGAACTACTGGGCTAGAAAAACTGAAACTTATTTGGAAGCCCACTAAGGTAGTGTAGATTCTAAATTGTTCAAATCATGGCCCCCAGGGGTAGGGTGGATCCACAATAGGGAATCAAAGTTTTACATTGAAATATATACATGTAGGAACAAGATGTGTTTGTGAAACACTGATGCCCCCATATGGCAGCTTATGGTGAAGGTTAAAGTTTCTCAAATGCAAGTCAAAATCCAGGCCAAAAGATAAAAAATGTTTAATTCGAAAGCCCTAGCTGCAACTGTTCAAAAGTTATGGTGAAGGTTAAAGTTTTTTAAAAGTAAGTAAAACATCAAGGTCAAGGTCAAAATTGTTGGTATCCAAAGGAAGGTCTTGTCACAAGGATTACATATGTAAAGTATGAAAGCCCTAGCACCAACCATTCAAAAGTTATGGCCAAGGTTAAAGTTTATCGAAAGTAGGTCAAACTCCTATGTCAAGGTCAAAGGGTCAAAGTGGTTGGTATCCAGAGGAAGGTGATGTCACAAGGATAACATATGTGAAGTATTGAAGCCCTAGCATCAACCATTCAAAAGTTATGGCCAAGGTTAAAGTTTTTCAAACGTAGGTCAAACTCCTAGGTCAAGGTCAAAAGGTCAAAGTTGTTGGTATTTAAACGAAGGTCTTGTCACAAGGATTACATATGTGAAGTATGAAAGCCTTAGCTCTAACCGTTCAAAAGTTATGGACAAGGTTAAAGTTTTTCAAAAGTAGGTCAAACTCCTAGGTCAAGGTCAAAGGGTCAAAGAGGTTGATATCCAGAGGAAGGTCTTGTCACTAGGAATACATATGTGAAGTATGAAAGCCCTAGCTCTAACCATTCAAAAGTTATAGCCAAGGTTAAAGTTTTTCAAAAGTAGGTCAAACTCCAAGGTCAAGGTCAAAAGGTCTAAGTTGTTGGTATTCAAAGGAAGGCCTTGTCACAAAGAATACACATGTGAAGTTTGAAACCCCAAGCACCAACTGTTCAGAAGTTATGGCCAAGGTTAAAGTCTCATAAAATTTTGCAAAAGTGGGTCAATCTCCAAGGTCAAGGTCAAAAGGTCAAATATGATGGTACCCAAAGAAAGGTCTTGTCACAAGGAATACACATGTGAAATATGAAAGTCATAACTCCAACCAATCGAAAGTTATGGGCAAGGTTAAAGTTGACAACAGACAGACAGACAAACAGACAAACAGATAAACAGACAAACAGATAAACAGATAAACAGACAAACAGACAGACAGGACAAAAACAATATACCCCCGGGATCTTTCGATCCGGGGGCATAGAAATCTTCTTCTCAAGAACCACTGGGCCAGAAAAGCTGAAACTTATGTGGAAGCATCCTGGGGTAGTGTAGATTCTAAATTGTTCAAATTATGACCCCCGGGGGTAGGGTGAGGCCAGGCAGACGGAAGTAGAACAAAAAAAACCAGTGTCTTACTATTAGATTTATTTCAAAACACAAAATAAAACCATCACAATATTTGTACAAACTGCTGCAATAATTAAAAGGTTTGTACGATTTTGCACAAAACCTCTATTGTTTTCCATATTAATCTATGAAAAAGGTAATGATAATGAAGTGATTGATCTAAAAAAATCAACAATCAATACAAATCCGTGAACAGGGTATAAAACATGGACCCCTGGAAACTCCAAGGGTGTTCTGATCTCAATCTCTATCTGTTCTCAAATATATATATGTATACCGATTTGATTTTAAAAGCCAAGCAAAGCTTATTTTTTGGATATCAGTGATTTATTCTTAATTATTAATACAGGAAATCTTCAGTTCCTTTTTTTGCCAGAAAACTGATACAGCTGAACTTTGATATCTTGAATACCATGGATATGTCAAAGTGAATTGAAAGTCCCAAGCCCTTTTTCTCTAAGTATTTTACCCTCAATATCTTAAACCATTTGATTTCTCAGTCTCATGGAGTTTGAGATAACGAGGTTTGACTGTATTTAACAATGATAATGGAAAGTAAAAACTGCCAGAAAAGAAAACATTTTCAAAACATGATGTGTTTGTGAAACACTGATGCCCCCGTATGGCAGCTTATGGCAAAGGGTAAAGTTTCTTCAAATGCAAGTCAAAATCCAGGCCAAAAGATAAAAAATGTTGATACCCAAAGAAAGGTCTTGTCTCGAGGAATACACCTGTGAAATTTGAAAGACCTAGATACAACTGTTCAAAAGTTATGGCGAAGGTTGAAGTTTTTTAAATAAAAGTCAAACGTCAAGGTCAAGGTCAAAGTGGTTGGTATCCAAAGGAAGATCTTGTCAAAAGGATTACACCTGTGAAGTATGAAAGCCCTAGCACCAACCATTCAAAAGTTATGGCCAAGGTAAAAGTTTTTCAAAAGAGGTCAAACACCTAGGTCAAGGTCAAAGGGTCAAAGTGGTTGGTATCCAAAGGAAGGTCTTGTCACAAGGATTACATATGTGAAGTATGAAAGCCCTAGCTGAAACCATTCAAAAGTTATGGCCAAGGTTAAAGTTTTTCAAATGTAGGTCAAACTCATAGGTCAAGGTCAAAGGTCAAAGTGGTTGTTGGTATCCAAAGGAAGGTCTTGTCGCAAGGATTAGATATGTTAAGTATGAAAGCCCTAGCTGAAACCATTCAAAAGTTATGGCCAAGGTTAAAGTTTTTCAAAAGTAAGTCAAACTTCTAGGTCAAGGTCAAAGGGTCAAAGTGGTTGATATCCAGAGAAAGGTCTTGTCGCAAGGAATGCACATGTGAAGTTTGAAACCCTAAGCACCAACTGTTCAAAAGTTATGGCCAAGTTTAAAGTTTTTCAAAAGAAGGTCAAACTCCAAGGTCAAGGTCAAAAGGTCAAAGTTGTTGGTATCCTAAGGAAGGCCTTGTCACAAAGAATACACATGTGAAGTTTGAAACCCCAAGCACCAACTGTTCAGAAGTTATGGCCAAGGTTAAAGTCTCATAAAATTTTGCAAAAGTGGGTCAAACTCCAAGGTCAAGGTCAAAAGGTCAAATATGTTGGTACCCAAAGAAAGGTCTTGTCACAAGGAATACACATGTGAAATATGAAAGTCATAGCTCAAACCAATCAAAAGTTATGGGCAAGGTTAAAGTTGACAACAGACAGACAGACAAATGGACAAACAGACAAACAGTCAAACAGACAAACAGACAAACAGATAAACAGACAAACAGACAGACAGGACAAAAACAATATACCCCCCGGGATCTTTCGATCTGGGGGCATAAATATCAGAAATGAAATACAGCCATTTTTGTTAAAAATGTATGTTTTTTCACAACATTGTTTCATTACAATGATAGATAAAATATAGCTGTCAAACCCTGAAACATACTTCAAAACACAGGTTAATACAACAGTCTGAGAATGTTTAATATCTGAATTTAGCAACTGATTTTGGCAAAAAATTGTTCCAACTTATAAGCAGGCCAATGGCAAATATAAAAGTGTTCTTAGGAGTGTAAATTGCCATGTACTCCAAACACTAGGAAATAAATGTATATTTGTATCTCAATGAAAGCCTTTGATAAGTATATGTAAGAGTGAAAACACTTTTTATTCATCCGGCTCTTTTTTCTAATTCAAGTCCATAATTTGTTGAAATAGAGAGATACAGGTAGCTCTTCCTTCATAAAAAAGGTGCTTAAAAATTATTTCTTAATTAGCATCTGTTTATGATATTTCTAGGCTACCATAGAGATTGGCTGTCTATGGGGGACCATTGTAGCCACAATCTTCGCATTCCGTGAGGTCAACACCACAGCCGCCTACATCTTGGTCCCTTACCTGGGCTGGGTGACCTTCGCCTCAGCACTGACTTTTAAAATTTGGAGAATGAACAAAGAGGATAAGGATACAAAGACATCATAGAGACAAAATACAACTTAGTTATTGTTATGATATAGACAGACTAGTCATGATGGCATTTTGTGCAAGAAGTTAATGTCGAGATTAGTGTATTTGAATTGTGTTTTCTTTGTTTACTATAGGTTATTGATGAACCTTTTAATGCATTTAAGTGAAGTATACTGTTTGATGACAGTTATAAGACTGAATGGTTTTTAGTTATGCAACATGTACTATTATTAAAATCAAATACATGTAAATTTCAAAACAAAACAGATAAAGTGTTTTATTTCAATTGTATTTCAATTGATTTACATAAAATTGACCTGTGAATCCATTTATTTGTTTACATTCTTTCAAAAAGTGTCCTTTCAAGATTTCTTTCCAGATATAGCTTTCTTCAAGTTTATTTAACTTTCATTTGAATTTTTCCTGCAAATCTGAAAGAAAGCCTGTATGTAAAAGAAGGGCTTAAAAATAAAAAAAAATGATGATTCTTCATTTTATATGCTCAGTTTTTGCTTTTAAGACTTTTATTTAAAATTGTGTGGATGTAAGCATTTGGTTTTTAGCTCATCAGAATGAAAGGCTCAGTAGAGCTTTTCTGGTCAGTTTGTCCATTGTCTAGTTGTTTGTCCATCTGTCTGTTACCTTTTCACATTTTTTCTTTTGTCTTGAGAACCACAGGGTTGAATTTCAATCGAGCATGACACAAAATATTATTCTTCTATAGATTCATTTGTTAAAATGAACGACTGTGGCCCTTTTCAAAGGGGGACAAATAAGAAATAGTAAAAATTTGAGTGTTTTCATTTAAAAAATCTCAATAACCACAGAAAAAGAAAAGACTGATCTTCCTTTTAGGGTTTAGAATCTCAAATGTGTTCAAATCATGGGCCTAAGGCTAGGGTGGTTAACTATAAGGTGTCTAAGTCTTGTAGGAATATGTTGGGAAACAGGGGCCCGTTTTACAAAAGAACTTACGACTAAGACCAACAACTTCAATTCATTGTAAAATTTTCCAAAATTAATGATTCTGTTTAAAATTGCCTGTGTAAAAATAGCTTTCTACATTCCGTTTAAAGAGATTAAAACCATGTTCAAATTAGTGTAAATTAGAAAGTTATGACCAGAATTGAATTTGGTCTTAGTCGTAAGTTCTTTTGTGAAATGGGCCCCAGGTCTACAATTAGTCATATTTGATACAGGCATCCCCATGTAGTGAACATTCAAATGACTCCTGGGGATAGAGTGGGGTCACAAGAGAAGGTCAAAGTTTAATGCAGAAATATACACAAAACTCAGAAAACAGAGGGCAACATTTAGTCATTTAAGTATTAAAACTTCATGTGCTTTTATTGGATGGTTGATTCAGAGAAATGGCTACGATGTAGTAGATGGAGGTTTGAAAGTATGTTATCATCATTTAATTTAAAGTTAATGCTACCATTCACATAACATTTTCTCTGATGTTTAACCTAAACCATTTCTCCAAAATGTTCATGAAATATGCATATATTCTAAACGTATCATCCTCAGGTAGTGAAGGTTCCAGTTTGTTCAAATAATGGTCCCCAAGCCTAGATTCAGGCCAAAATGGGGTGTAAAGCTTTAGAAATGGAATATGTTCATAAAAGTCCTTACAAACAAAGATACATTGCTGGGTCCAGCAAATGCTCTACCAAGCCCCTATCTTTACTCCTTACAACAGGATGTGTTTGTGAAACACTGATGCCCCCGTATGGCAACTTATAGCAAACGTTAAACTTTCTCAAATGCAAATCAAATATGTTGGTACCCAAAGTAAGGTTTTGTCTCAAGAAATACACCTATGAAATATGAAAGCCCTAGCAGCATCCATTGAATAAATATGGAAAAGGTTAAAGTTTTTTCAAAAGTATGTCAAACATCAAGGTCAAATGTCAAAATTAATGGTGCTCAAGGCCTTCTCCCAAGAAATACACAGGTGAAATATGAAAGCCGAAGCACCAATCGTTCAAAAATTATGACCAAGGTTAAAGTTTTTCAAAAGTAGGTCAAACTGCAAGGTCAAGGTCAATGGATTACAATTGTTGGTATCCAAAGGAAGGTCTTGTCACAAGGTTTATATATTTGAAGTAAGAAAGCCCTACCATCAACCGTTCAAAAGTTATGGCCAAAGTTAAAGTTTTCCAAAAGTAGGTCAAAAGCCAAGGTCAAGGTCAAAGGGTCAAAGTTGTTTGTATCCAAAGGAAGGTTTTGTCACAAGAATTACACATGTGAAGTATGAAAGCCTTAGCACTAACAGTTCAAAAGTTATTGCCAAGGTTAAAGTTTTCAAAAGTAGGTCAAACTCCTAGGTCAAGGTCGAAAGGTCAAAGTTGTTGGTATCCAAAGAAAGGTCTTGTCACAAGGATTACACATGTGAAGTATGAAAGTCCTAGCAACTATTGTTCAAAAGTTATGGCCAAGGATAATGTTCGGTAAAATTTTGCAAAACTGGGTCAAACTCCAAGGTCAAATTCAACAGGTCAAATATGGTGGTACCCAAAGAAAAGTCTTGCCACAAGAAATACACGTCAAATATGAAAGCGATAGCTCCAACCAATCAAAAGTTATGGGCAAGGTTAAAGTTATTGCGGACAAACAGACAGACAGACAGCTAGACAGACAGACGGACGGACAGGGCTAAAACTATATATCCCCGAATCTTCGATACGGGGGCATAAAAATACGAACTGTTGTTAAGGAGAAACTTCAGACGCACTGTGCTACAGCATATTCTAGAAGTGGTTTAAGTCAGATGTGGATTCTCAAAAACTCCAAAAAACTTTTAAGAAAATTCAATATTGCCAAATTTTTCAAGTCATTAACATCAAAGCGTACGACTTTTCTACACTTTATACATGTATAACTATTCCTCATGATAAATTATTAACTAGGCATTTTGATATCATCGACAAATGCATGCTTCTTCCAAAAAAAAAAAAAAAAAAAAAAAAAAAAAAAAAAATGGACCTCAGAAATTGGTCATCAACAAAATTACTTTGTTAAAAATCGCTCTGATTCTACACAAAAGTTGATATTAAAAGGATTGTGGAGTTCCTCATTGACAACATTTATGTAGTCTTCGAAGACCAGGTCTTCCAACAAATTGTTGGAATTCAGATGGGCACTAATTGTGCCCCGTTGTTAGCTGATCTGTTTTTATATTCCTATGAAGCACAATTTATTCAGAAACTTCTACGCGAGGAGAAGAAACTTGTTGTGGCATTCAATTCGAAATTTAGATATATCGGCAAGTATTATCAATTAACAATGGTTACTTCCATTCACATGTCGACTAGATATATTCCAGTGAACTTGAAATAAAAGTTACCACAGAGTCTGCCACATCTATTTCATATTTGGATGGACGTTAAAGGCCAACTAACAACTAAATTGTATGACAATTGAGATGACTTCAGCTTTTCCATCGTCAACTTTCCTTATTTATGTAGTAATATCCTACTACTCAAGAGCATGCTGGGAGTACTATCAACTTTTAAACCGAGACAGGCTACTGACAGATAAGTTGATGTTACAGGGATATTAACAACCCCCTTAAAAGTCAGCATTTCTTAAATTCTATGGTCTTGTTATGACCTTGTTAGCAAATATAACCTATCATTGGGTCGTATTTTGGCTGACGTGTTTCATATTAATTGTTTGACCTTCGTTTTTATACTGAATTCGACTATGGAATATTCCCTTTACCTGATCAATACATAGGGCCCACAGCGGGTGTGACAGGTCAACAGGGGATGTTTACTCCTCCTAGGCACCTGATCCCATCTCTTGAATTCCTGGGGATCCGTGGTTTTGCCCTGTTAACAGTTTAGTATTGTTTATAGATTTTTTTTCACTGTTCGTTTTCTTCATCTTTTCATTCAGAAAAAACCTTAAACAAACATCTTCTTTTCAAGAACAGTTGTACAAAATTCTCCAGCCTAGCCCAAATGAGTTAAGATTGGCCCTGATTTGAATCCACGCAACATGGAGATGCTTTGAAAATAATATAACTTACATTGCCTTGCTTGCATTATGCAAAATTTTATCCCAATTTTAGCCTCACTCTAAACCCAAGGTCCATGCTAGATTTTTTTTTTAAATTTCCAATGAATACTCTGATCACTTATTGTGGCCTCTGCCTATCCCAGGGGGCATGATTTGAACAAACTTGTGTCTACATTATCCATGTTATCTCTGGATGCTTATAAGTTACAGATACTTATATATATTAAAATGACTTACGATGGCCCTCCTGTTCTGGAGTAGATATTTCTAACGACTGAATTTCCTATGTTCTCCAAGGCACGTGACACCACCTCTGATGTTTTCAGAGCTCTGCTGGCTCGGCTCCCAAATAGTAACAGGTATTGTTTAATTGGACTCTAATATTCATTATCTTTACATTTACTTTAACCCCCTATCTTGGCCTCACACTACCCCGTAAACCATTATTTGAGCAAACTTGAATTTACTCAACCGAAGAATGCTTGAATATTAGAACGATTATAATTATTTATTTTTATAAATAAATATTCCCCTCTAGCGTAGCTCTATCCTATGGCCTGAACCATGGACTAATGGGGCCATAGATTTTTGCAATCTTGGTAGAGAGCTCATATTGCTTATTAAAATCGTGGCAAAAGGTCGACAACTTGAATCAGGAGTGAGGGAAAAAAAGGATGTTTTTGATGGTTTTGTTCCAGTCCTCAGGCCTCAGGGAAGCAGAGACCATTGGATTCAAAATTTCGTTCCTCTTAAGCTATGGATGCTATATGATACTAAAGAACGAGGTACGCTTTCTGCGAATTTCGGGCCCGTGATTTTCGAGAATTTAAGGATGACGTTTACTCAAATAATAAAAAAAATTCCACTGATAGGAATGAAACACCAGTTAATGTACAATGTAGACTTATGATTGTAGTGTTATTATTAACTTTCAAATAACTAGTCGATGACCTACTTTTTATGCTTGTGACCCCTGATATTTCTAGGGAAATATGCCTCATTTTTTAAAACTATGATCAATATTTTCTTTATTAACAAAATACTACAATAATATTACAATTGATATAAAATAATAAATAAATTAAATACAGTGAATATAATAAAATTACAAAAATATTGAAAGACTTGATTATTGGAAAAGATACAATGGCTGCTTCCGCGACCGGCTGAGGCCGTTCGGAGCATACAACTTGATGCATCTGGTAAAGATTTACACATATTTTTGTGAACTGTGTACTTACAATATACATCCAAATACAAACTTACAGACTTGATTTTTTTATGCATATTAAGTTATTAACCATAATGCTTCAAAATCTTTTTAATCACATTCATATTTAAGAACAACAACAACCATGTCTTTATCACTCTGCCCAAGAATAGTTTGTATCATTTTATTTCTGATACTAAAATAAATTCTATTACAAAAATTATGGTAGCGAAAAAGGGGAAAAAGTTCTTCAAAAAACGTGTGTATTTTTCCGTTAGTGTTTAGGACTTTATACAGTAACCATCTCTAAAAATCTAAGATTGCTTGAGAAATATTGCATGCTCTGATCCCATCTGTAAGGAAAAACATTTTAAACAGATGCTTGCGATTGATGGGTTGTTCATATCAGGATTTTCTTTTTAAAAAGATCATTTGGAACCTTATCATTATTGCCTGTCATTTAAAGTTAACTTTGTAAGCGTTTTTTTCCCTTTCATTGAGACTATTGCCTGTGTTCTTTTTTCTGTCACTAGGTGCATCACATATTTTTCAGCTGTTAATAGATAGTCCAATTCTTGCCAATTTAACCCATATCAGGGGTGGAAAGTGAAAGAATGTACTATTTCATGTACTTGATGATCTTCAATTTTCCAGAGTCTTCTTCCACCACCCATAGTCTGTCGTCATTGTCAACACTGACACCAACAGGAACATTCAGTAAACAGTTATTTATGATCGACAGACCTGCACCATGACTGTCTAGGTTGTGGACACAGTGTTTGAGATTGTCGGACACCAAGATATGACCAAGACTGTCCGTGGTAATACAATGTGGATTAGTGACCTTGACATATCTAGATTTGGCTTTTCCTTCTTGACTGAGGATAACAACAGCTTTAGAGTTCAAGTCGCTGACACAGATATCTCCATTTCTATTCTCAGCTATTTGTAGCCAGAATTCATCATTTTCGACCAAAGCTCGTTTTGATTCACCGTAAGGAATGTCTTGTGTTTTTGAAGTACCCGTGTACCGTACTATTTTTACATGTGTGTCATACAAAACGACTAATATGTCTCCAGACGAAGTGGCACAGATCCCAGACGGGTGACCCTCAGTGCGAATCAAGACATCAGCTTTCCCGTTCCTTACACGGCAAATGGTCTTATTGGTAAAGTCAGTATATAGGAGATCGCCATCGCTGGTCACCGCCAGACCATCGGGATATCCACCAGATTTTGTGATGACCGTCTCTAGAACTGACCCTTCACTGTCAACCCGTGTCATATTACCACGACCACCACTTATCCAAGCCTCATTGTTTCCAAGACAACTGACCAGGCAGGGTTCTTTGATTTTCATATCTATTGCAGCAATGATTTCTGGTGGGTCAAGCAACTCTCTTTGGTAGCACTGTAGAAACGACAGCTCTTCTGTTATTCTGTTCCCAGCTTTGTCTTCAATTATAGCTATCACTGACGAAGGATGCAGCTTACCAAATAATGAAGATATTTTTTCGTCATTTACTGATTCTGGTTCAAATCATCCTGATGAAATCTTCCTCCTTGGCGGTACCTGGCTAAATTTGATCAAGTCAGACTGGACATTGGTGACGTCAGTTTTTCTAAATTGCAGAAGTTCTTTATTCTTCCTGATAATTTCCAGAATAGCAGCTAAACGATTTTCGAATTCAGCCAGACTTTTCTTTAGTTCAACCAAATTTTTGTTTTCCATAGCATCGATTTCACAAAGTCGTTTATTGATGACCCTATCACTGCGCTGTGCAGTTCTTCACCTTGTTCTGACACTTCTGATTTCAAATTGGAACTTATCGCTGGTAACTCATCTAAATCTTTCTTTATTAGCTGGATGATTTTTTGGTATTCAGGAACTAATTTCTCTTCCAGAAATTGTATTTCCTTGACCACAGCCCCTTCTTTTGCTTTCTGATTTTCGCTGACTCTCTGCATCTCATGGTGTATATGCTCTCCTGATGCAATGCATTCAGTGCAGACAGGAATATCACAAACTTGGCAATGAAGGTTGCACCTTTGTTCAAAGTGTTTGGGACAGCATGGCTTGGGGTAAACATCAAATTTTTCTGAATATTTAATAACAGCGTGTTTCTGTACTAGAGACAGTGTACTAGTATGTGAACCAACACAATTGCTACACAGCTTTACGTCACAAGTCTTACAGAAAAGTTCTGCTTTGTTAGGGCAGCACTTGCACCGTATCAACATCTGAGCAAACCCAATGTCAGGATCACCACCCGTCGCCATTTTGTTGTTTAAATCGATACCTACAAGAAATTAATTTATATTCATAAAATGATACTTTACTCAGTATCTATGAAAAAAGATACTTTTTCTATATATACCGAACAGAATTCTGTACTGACCTGTTTATCTTTGAAACAGTATTTTCACACTAAATCGTGTTTTCATAATTCTAATAATTTACTTTCGGTTTCAGCATTTAGTGCATGTTTATATGCACTTATATGCATACCAACACGTATTTCAACTTCTAAATGTAGACTTATCTAGTTTAAGCTCGTCAGGGCCACCTGCAAATGTTACAGCTTCAATTCAGGTGATTTATATTTTTAAAATGAAACATGTAGAGATAACGAACAGTATTCGAGCTCAAAAGTCCATTAAACATTACATAATAGGAGCAGAGCAAACACGGACCTCTAAGACATCAGAAGTGGGCTCAGGTGCCATGGAAGAGTGAGCATCCCCTGCCGACCGGTCACACCCGCCGTGTGCTCATTGTCATGATCGGGAAATAACGGAAAAATCCGTCGACAATTCAGTGTGTAAATAATGGCCTAAAAATTAGTATGAAAAAAGTCAGTCAGCATTTGACTTAATGATAGATTGTATTTGCTGACAAGGTCATTGTATCGACCATAGAACTTACGAAATGATGACTTTAAAAACAAGCACTATAAGCATTTCGTCAAAACCCCCATCTGAGTAACCTTGCCCATACTGTTCTTCGAGAAAAGAATTTTTCCTATTTATGTGTAAAGCTTGCATCTCCTTGAGTTGCGACACGCATTTCCTAGGGATATTTTTTTCTCTGCTAATTATCCAAGAGGGAGAATTTAAAAAAAAAAAATTCCACAATATGATTCATATCTAGCCCCGACTCTTGGGTCTAGTATTTCACAATTTTGGGAGTGGCACCCCTGGTCATCATAACCATTCAGTACAGTTTTTCTGCTAAGAATACACTGGGAGAGACGCAACCGAGGGACAAAAAAAGATAGCAAAAGGTAAACTGTGACTCGAGGGACATAAATGCAATGAAAATAAAAAAAAAAACCCTCCCGTTTGTGTTCATGGCGCTTTAGGCTTTGCTGTAGGCGGGGTATTGAGCTAAATCCCGGATGATAGGCAAAGAACATTTAAGGCTATTTCAATGTCGTTGAACAACGTTGTTTATGCACCAGGCCCACAAGGAAGAAACTATTGTTAGTTATCAAGTCTATTCACTATTCAGCTAGGACGAAAGTTCAAATTCAAAATAATGTTGTTTGTTGTAATAAAATATTTGGAAATGGAAGGGGTTTAGGGGGTGGTATTAAAGTGGTAATTCCTCCCATAAGCGGGGTGGGTTCTCCAAATCACTTTTTAGAATATGCAATGAACAAAATATAACAAGATCATTTCAGAGTTAAGTTATACCACATGTAACGCGCACTCTTTGTATAGACGGATTTAAGTTTACATCTACGGAGAAAGTGTGAAATTCATTATGTGTTGAGACACATTTAAAATGGCTCGAAATTAGTGAATCAACATCTAGTTTTATAAACTTATACTACTCTTGGACGTGAAAATTGAAAACGTATTTGTGACTGATTTAGCTCAATGAACGTTTAAATATTTTAAATATTTAATCTACATCAATGAGAGAGAGAGAGAGAGAGAGAGAGAGAGAGAGAGAGAGAGAGCACAGAAAAATAACTTTTTACAAGGATACCCACTTATGCCCCAACCCGGGGATATATATATATATATATATATATATATATATATATATATATATATATATATATATATATATATATATATATATATATATATATATATATATTTACATTTGCTGGTTTTTCTACTAAGCCAACTGTGAAATTGATTTGAAAGTCATTTTTGTGTATACTCACGCGTAGAAATATACACGGTGAAACTCGTGCTAAAGTGACGTCACAATGAGGCTACAGAGACGTAAATAAAAATGTAACGATATAGGGCAGCAAGAAATTCAAATATTTAGTATATTATTGGTGCTTTTAAACTTGTAAAATGTAAATATAAGGAATGTTTTTAAGCTTAGTGCTAGCGCGCTTCATGAAATATGCCTACGTGACAAGTCTGTGTGATTTACACACCAATAACTCACACAAAACTTAAAAACATTCCTTAAATATATATATATATATATATATATATATATATATATATATATATATATATATATATATATATATATATATATATATATATATATATATATATAACCGGTTCTTGTAGAAATTAAAAATAACTGCAAGATGGTATATAGGGTTGAATTCTTAATATTTATGCCGTGGAGATATATAGTTGATTTCAAGATGAAATAAATGTTTTAAATCAACCCTAAAATAACAATGACAACATATAAGTACATAAACAACATATAAACAAGCACATTCACTTTACAACACAAAAACGATCACAATTTAAACACATAAAACATTCATTTAGGCCATTACTTTACACTTCATACAAACGCATTCAAAGGGCGATAACTCTTTGAAACTCATTGAATTAATGATGTAAATTATGATCCAATAAACGTAAAAATCAAACCAGAAAACATAAACGACATCCATAGGATGGGGCAAAAACGCCCAGGTAAAATGAGACAAATCATAGTAAGGTTTGTACAGCTTGAACCTAGACATCATTTACTTCGTAACCGGTTCGATCTTCGAAAAACAGAACAATTTGAAAAAGTATTCATTTCCGAAGATCTGTCCCAGTTGAAGTTCAAATTGCTACAATATGTACATGTAAAGCCAGGTTAAATCTGCATTTCCAAAAGATGGGAAAATAATCTGCACCCTTCAGGATGACAAGAAGGAAGTGGTCGATACACCAGATGATCTCTTTAAGCTGGGAATTGATGCGATTGATTTTAAAGCCTTGGGACTGTCAGAAAGCGTGCTTTAGGATGAGGAAGGAAGTTCCGGTGATTTGCGTTGTCAAGACGATGATACAAATGAAGAAGACTCTGGTGAAAATGCTACTGTACCAATTTGTAAATTTCAGAAATCTGATAAGCAGATTAAAGTGTTGCATTTGAATGTATGTGGGATAGTGTCTAAAATTAGAACCCCTGATTTCATTGAATATGTTTCACAATTTGATATTTTATGCTTCACTGAAACTAAAATTGATGTTTATGATGATATAGGTATTCATAATTATGAATTACTACCACCAATCATTCGTCAGAATTGTAAACATAAATCAGGTGGTATTGCAGTTTTTGTCAAAAGTGAAATTTATAGATATGTTAAGGTCGTTGATACATCTAGTCAATGCATTTACTTATTCTCTGTTGAAAATATTATGCAACATGACATTTTATTTGGGGTTGTATATATTCCCCCCAGAAAATAGTCCTTATAGTTCTGTTGATATGTTTGATGAAATTGTTAATAAGTTAGTTACAGTTGATAAAAATTACCAAGTGTGCCTACTTGGAGACTTTAATGCTCATACAGGGTCTCTTGCAGACTATATTATTGTAAATGACACTATTCTCGATATTCTGCTGATTGATGAAGACTCGAGGAAGGATATGAACAGTTTGAATTCCTTATACGAACTCGGTATTCCAATACAGAGGTATTCAAAGGACAAGCGTGTTTATAATTATGGAAATAAACTACTTGAAGTTTGTAAAAGCTTAGATATATATATTGCAAATGGTAGAATCGGTGATGATAGTTTTGTAGGTGCTGCAACCACAAGTAAAGATACCGTTATTGACTATGTTATTGTGTCTCCATCTTTATTTGATAGTATTTCTTCTTTCAAAATTTGTAATTTTGATCCTATGTTGAGTGATATGCATTGTCCTGTTATTGTGCACTTTGATATTGTGTTTATGACAAAAACAGATATAAATGAGCTTTCTTGTAAGTTTAAAGAAAATACTGTAGAAAATCAAGTTGTTTTAAAACCAAAGTGGAAAAGTAACAATGCACATGTATTTATTGAAAATTTAAGTGAAGAGAGTATAAATGAATTGCTTATGAATCTTGAGAATGTTGACATGAATCAAGTCGATATTGGTTTTGTAAATCAGGTTGTTACTAATTGTAATTCTATAATCAAGAATGCAGCAGAAAAGGCAGATATGTTTATTGTGACTAATAACAATGTGCAGAGGTCTGTAAGTTCTAAACTATGTAAACCCTATTTCAACAAAGAATGTTATTTGAAACGTAAAGAGTATCACAAGTGTAGAAATCTCCATTGGAGACTTAAAAGAGCTGAGACAGAACAGAGTTTATTACAAAGTAGTAGAGACTATAAAAAACTTTAAATAAACAGTTTGGAGAATATCAGAAAATTTTATTAACAAACTGAGAAATTTACGTAGTACTGATGCGAAAGCATATTGTCATTATTAAATAAATGTGACAGAAAGGGTAGTAAAAATGTTGGAAAAATTGCTCTTGATGTTTTCTATGATCATTTTAAGAATATGAATGCTTTAGATAATGATTCTGATGATGATGTCAATCAGCTTCCTAATGTAACTGATTTTAATATTGAATTGAACCAAGCTATTACTGAAACGGAAGTGTTGAATGCTATAAAATCACTGAAAAACAACAAAGCATGTGGTGGTGATCTTATATTGAATGAATTCTTGAAAAATACAACTGCAAAATTAATGCTTGTATTTGTAAAAAATTTTAATATTGTTTTTATGACTGGTATTGTGCCTGACAGTTGGTCAGAAGGTTATATTTGCCCGATATACAAAAACAAAGGAGATCCTAATGATGTAGATAATTATCGTGGTATTACCATTCTAAGCTGTTACGGAAAATTGTTCACTTGTATCTTAAATAATAGGTTGCATAAATATTTAGAAAACTCTGGCATGCTCTGTGAAGAACAAGCAGGGTTTAGAAAAGGCTATAGCACAACAGATCATATATTTAATCTTAAATGTTTAATTGATTTGTATTTACATAGAGGTAGAAAATTGTATTGTGCTTTTGTTGATTATCGTAAAGCATTTGACACTGTACGAAGGGCTTATTTATGGCAAAAAATGTTGAAACATTCTATAGATGAAAATATGTTAAAAATAATACAAAATATATACAGTAATGCAAAGTCTTGTGTAAGGCAAGGCAGTTCTTGTTCCAATTTTTTCATTTCAAATATTGGTGTACGTCAAGG